TATAGTGACAATAAAAATGTTCTTACTTTTTTTGGTGTCCTTTGCCTTCCTTCAGCCTGTAAATTTGCTTTAAATGATGAAATACGTTGATGACATCTCGAAATCGTCTTGGTGCTTCCTCAATTTTACTGGCTAGATTTAGACATGCCATCGCGGTTTGCTGAAATGGAGATAAGTTGATAAATAATACGAGATAAGATCTGTCCCTCACCTCAAAATTATACCTGACGAAAGACTTGGCATAGTAGAACCTCTGAAACAATATTTGCCCTGTCGCGGCAGCAACCTAAAATACAATAAAAACAATAAAATTGCTATGGACAGCTCCAGGTTAGAACTCTGTATGACAAAAACCATTTCTATTATGATGGGTTTAAAAATCGTGCTTCCTGTTATTGAGAAATATTAAATCACACGATTCGATGGTCATAGCAGGCAACTGGTGGATAAATTATATATCAACTCTGCTAACATTTCTGTTATATAGCATTGACCGTCATCCCAACAAACCAACAAATTTTTGGATAACTGGCAAAACAGAGCAGACAGTGTAGATTTGCCCATAATCACTTAACCTTAGAACCTTATCTAAGATCGGAAAGATTGGACTAAATTTTTATCAAGCGCACTGCTCTGAGTATGTACCACATTTCTACGTATAAAGCAGCCTACACTAATTTGAAATGAGAAAAAACGAGGAATAACACTTGAATAACCTACAGAACACCTCTGATAACATGAAACGACGTCTGAAGTTCCACCGCTCAAGCGGAATTACAAGACAAGGCTACGCACCAACGGAGAAGTCAATAACAAAGTAACATGAATTCTCAATCACGTTAGTTTTAAAAGGGCTGCATTAGTAGTTGATCCATTCTTAGTGCAAATAACTCAAAAGCAGACTATTTTTTAAATGGAGGGAAAGTTTTGACCCATGGAAGAGTGTCCACTGAGATTCGTAACGTCAGCAAATCGTGTGCAAGCTGTATACGCTGAGTAAACCTATTGCGGACTACTGTGATTAAGCATAATGCACCACATAAGGAATTCGAAATACCTTTAAAACTGAAAATAAACTAACTTTTAAATTTCGTTTATACCGTATACTGATTCTAGGTTATCCAGTCACCAGGGACAATACGAATCTCAACGGTAAAGCGCACGCATCAGGCAACACGGCCGGACATTTCAAACTCCTCAACACGACAACATCAAAGCATCACGCAATTCTTATTATTTTTCGCAGATCATCCACCTGCTACCCGTTTTTCAGCTTGTTGCACCGAAGCAGTGAAATGAATTCGTTGTTCAAGCAAATTAGCAGTTATTAAGAGAAAATTAACATTTCACGTTGGATGCGAAAGCGGAAATCGTAAACTACTGCCTCTCCCTACCCATAACAAGAGTGAAAACAAAAGAAAATATTAAGTATCGAACCTCGCAGTCAAGCACAATTATGTTAATTCTTAATTCAAAGAATGTTAACCCAGAACTACTCACTTTACTGCGATCTTCTAAGTGAATTTCGAAGATATGAAGATACATATCTGAAGGTTCGGTGAATTCGGATTACTATTAAAGCGAATCAGAGTGACATAATAAAACGGTAACAAACACTTCAATGGTATACTTTTAGCGAACTATCAGCATATGTTTCTAAACCGATATAACAAATATGATACACTTCGAGAGAAGTAAAAAGGAAACTCCTACTAAACTGATGACCCAACAACGTTAGTCTGAATGTCGAATTTTACAGTTCTTACAGGTAGAAAACAAACTATAATCTTGGTAGTAACGTTTAAGATTTAGTACAATTTAGTTTCATCAGTTACCTGAGGTAGTTTAAGCAGTACTGAAGACAGCTGAATCAATTCACATCCTAGATAACGCAGGTCGCGTTCGGTTTCGACGTCTAAGCCATCCTGCAAGGACGGGGAAGTGTCTAACAGTTCGCCAGACAACAAACAATTTTCCAACGTTATCTCGACGTGGTCATGAAGTTTATGAAGGCCAAAACTTGACAGTGCTTTTTCCGGCAAAACCGCAGCCTGACTTTTGGCATCTTTTTCGATAGCCGACGTTTCATTACTCGGAGAAACCATTGTCAAAACTTACACCATACCTATGACAAGGCAAACAATAATGTACATGCAAATCGGAACTAATTACAAGAGTTTATATTTGTTACATAAAACTTTAAATTACTCAAAAAGAGTGATCACCGAAGGATGCAAGTCAGGCAGGATTTTCTTGCTGCTTATGACGGTTATGGCTTATTTTTGATACAGTTCTTCAACTACCCTGTAAAAAAGGCGCTAGAATTTAACCAGAAGGAACTTTAAACTTCGTCAGGTATCATTTTAATTGGACTTCAAATTGTACTGTTAAGCAGCGTTCATAAAAATTTTTTGAAGAAAAAGAGAAGAATTGAAATTTTCTAACCGAAAAGATCTTATATTTTCAGAAAAAAATAAAGGAAGTGACGCAATCAACTTCACACAAATTATTATGCAGATCATTTACATACAGCAGCCAGAACCTTCCATCGATATATGTCCGTATGTATAACCATTAGTAGGCCTGCTCTGAAAGTCCATATATTTATGGATGTTTCTTTGAGAGTATTTTGCAAGGCTTTCAATCCTTAAAGTTCTATTTATTAGCTTTTGAAATATTAGTCTTTTGCAATCAAGTCAAGTTTGTTAGCTTGTACAGCGACTGTTAGTATCATCATTAAGCAACTGTTACTCCAGGATACAATCCTATGAAATGCATATGCACAACAGGTTAATGGCAAATCAAAATATTATGCACAGGTATGAACAGGTTTAGACAAATCATCAGTTATGTTTTGATCATCGATCAATAATAATGTTCGTTCTCAGCTGAAGATTGGAGAAACTGAGACCTAAAAGCATATTTAGCGGAGGCAGTGCGACGATTGGAGTAATAACTGCATTAACCTTATGTCGTTATATTTCAGAGTTCAATCTCTGAGTTAGATTCCAGTCTCTGACCTCGAAGAAAAGGCTCGACAAGCTTTGTAACCGCTGTTGCACCACTAAAATTTTGCTTATAAAACCAGAGATTTGACTTAGTCTGTGATTCAGATCATTTTAAGCACATTCATTTTTGAGTAAACTCGATTTAGCAGCTAAATACATTAACTGATAGCTGACTTTTTGACTTTAACGGGGTCTTAAAAAATAACGTTAATAAATAACGCAAGCGGTGAGCATAACTAACAAAAGAGAGGAGAAAACAATATCTAAGTTAACATCATGGACATCAGGAAAATGGAAAATGTAAAGGAACAGGGGTAAAGAATTCAGCCGTAAAGTGGGTGTAATTCACATTTCTTAAGAAATTTTGTTCTTAAGAAGATTTCATGCTGTTATTAGTTAATTCCATGGATGGTACAGGTATACTTTACCAATTCGCTTGATGAGAAAGATGAAATGTCAGCATTAGTCTTAAAAGGCTGCGTCTATAGATCTCTATTTCATTTTGAATACCTGCTACTGCTTGAAAGCTGTTTACTCTGGGCTGCGGTCAGAGTATTTAATGTTTTTTTCTGCTATAAAATGGCTTTGCCTACTGATTAAGAGCCAAAAATAAATTTCTTCATGTATACGAGAGGTTAAATTGACTATTAGCGAAAGGAAGGCTGCATTCACGATAGAAAGATTCTGGTTTGGAAGCACAGAGACTTCAAATCGAATTCAGTATGAAGAACTGCGCAAGGCGGTAGTGAAATCACTGGCCAAAGCGAAAGTTGATCTTTTTAAAAATCGATGTGGCACTGCAGTCGAATTTCCAGACCGAAAAAAGTATTTTAACGGACCATCCGCCGCCTCTGAGATAGAAAGAAATGCAGTCTATGACGTCTAAAAAATTATTCCTAACGCCTTCTTACCAGGAATGAGAAACACAGTTTGGCGATGCAAACAGTACTTTGAGGTGCACTCTTTAGTCTCGAGAAATCGCAGGAGGACTCGCTGCAAAATCAGCAGGCAATGTATCATAGTTTCTCAATGGATTAAATTACAGGAATTGCTAAAAGTTTCGAGAGTTACAAGCCCTATGGAATCGATGATATCTGCCCTGAAATACTAGAAGCTTTAAGCGAAAAAGATATGTTGTGGCTAACACGTATCCATCAAATTGCAATGGCA